GTGCCAATGCGCTTTTTTTTTCCGGTTTGGGATTTTCGGAGGCTTACAAGGTCCATGCGGGCAAGATTTGCACCATGGGATGAACACAAAGAAGGGGTGAGTAGGTTTCGTAACAGAATTGGCAAGGCCTTGTGACATCCCTCAAATTCGCAGAAGGGACACATGATCCTGCTGGAGCTCTCCACAACCTGGCGGTGTCTTAAGAATCGAGATCATTTTTGATTCTGTTAGACAATCCTGTTAGATCTGAATGGAAACGGCAGGTATTGACGTTTCCATGCCCCAAACCTCTTGCTCCTCTGACAAACATGTCTACCCGGTTGCGGCACAAAAAAATTTTGAAAGGACTAGAGCGTCACGGAAACTGGTGGCTTCTTAAAGCACGTAGCCGCCGAAAAACACACCATCAAACTCACCTCTACAAGCATGACACTCCTCAAGGTAAAGACCCAAATCCCAATTTTCCACTCCAAGCCCCACATCCTAAATTTTCACTCTCGAACCCTCCTGCACAAACAACAAACAGGGCACCTCTATTCACACCTCCGGTGCGTCTTGCCCGCGACTTTACCCGAACCACATATCTCCAAATCTCAAAGATGCCAAAAACAGGTATATTTTCAGTGTGGCCTTACCCACAAGCCTCTCAAATCCTCCTGCCCCAAAATAAACATGTCACGTCCATTCGCCTGAGATGTCGAAGCCACAATGCGGGATTTGCGGGATTTACGGAGGGCACCTTGTGGGGAGTTTTGATGTGGCTGGTGAGTAGAGGCGGCTGTCTTCCTGTGGCGGAGCTTCGGTGGCTCTTTGTCCAACGTTGCCGAGGATGAGGCAGCTCCAACGAAACCGTCACCACTTTAGAGCTTCTTGTTGCGCGCCTGAAAAGTGCCGACAGTTACGAGGGTGAGGCACCCGGGGCACACCATCCTCGTAGCAGTCCTCACATTTTTGAGCTTCATGTTGCTTTCGTGCATCAGAAGAGTGCTGGATGAGGCGCTTGGGTCTCGCCACTGTCATGACTATCGTCACTTTTGCAGACGCCCGTCGAACGTAGCTCATCATCCTCCTCGCAACAAATCCCACCCACTCCTGCTTCAGCTGAATCCTGCGTTCAACTTCGACGCAGGCCTTGCTCCCTCCCTACATGGCACGCCCCCACATGAATAGAAAGAAAGGGAGAGAGAGAGTATAGATAACCAAAAGCCAGAGAGAGAGAGAGAGAGGGAGGGCGAATAGATAATAGAGAACATAGATAGACTTAGATAAGATACCTCAGCTCGGATTTCGTGTCGCAGGTTGCGTCCGTCATGTCTGTGAAGAGATGGAAGCGAGACAAGTGAAGCTCTGTCTGGAACATATCTAAAAGGCAAAGCAAGAAGATGGTAAACAAGCTTCCGACAACCGTGGGAGACCACAGAGATATACCACCAGTTTTTTCGCATCAAACCCATGAAAGGGGACATCAAGGCAAACAAAACAAGAACAAGCCTCCAAAAACCTTGGCCGAAGGGGGAACAAAGAGGCAGACAAGCTCCGCAAATCCCGGCACCAACCAACCACGACCCCTCATCACATGAGGGAACACAGGGCAGGCAACCTCAGAAAACTTCGCATGCACAACCGTGGCACACGAACAAATTCAAACGATCTAAGGATAGCTGGCAGATTTCCACTAGGACGTGCTTCTTAACCATGCATGTCTGGGAAGCTTGAAGAACTTCGCGGTACTATCACTAGGAGATACATGAGCCATGTGCCCTACCTAGTGAACAAAGGTGACAGCATCTGGGTCACGCAGCTCACTTTGCACTGAAAACATGCAATGGCTTTTGGTGGCATCAATCGTCGAGCAGTCATTTCAAGCGAATGCCGATGTATGAACTTTGCATGCACATCTGCAAGAAATGGCTGCTCGTTGAATGATGGACCGCTACCATGTTGACACAGGGCAGCGATTGTCCATCAGGAGCTAACATGCACAGGCAAGGTTTTCTTGCCGGGGCGAGTCACACAAACACTTGCAATGAAATTCGACGAAGCATGCAGCCACTGGATCTCAGTCAGCACCACCACCCTGACAAGTCAAGATAAACATCGTGGTGGACCCGCAGCCTGAAACCCCGCTGAAAACTCGTCGTCCTCGTGCTTGATGCTCTCAGCCAGCCGGACCAGCTCTTCGCACCTTTGCGCCCAATTTGGGAACCCTGCCCTGCGGCATGGGCTTAGGCCAGGGCATGGGAGTGCTGTATCCCATCTGGCATGAGCTGCAGAAGCGTTGGGGATCCCCACAGGCGTGGGTGGGCACTTTTGGCAGAGGCAGTTTGAGCTTCCTTGAGGAAGGTTGCCGTATCCTGCGCATGATGCAAGACGTTGCGCGATCAGGCAGCATTGGACGTATACTTGAAATCTCCTGGGGCGCAGCCGACTGAAGCACCGCATAGATGCCCTGCTGAATCTGCGGCATCAGGACAAAGCGATTATGCTTTCAGTTGCAGGGAACCTTTCCCTGCAAACAAGCGACCCGAAAGAGAATCAGATCTGCTCTTCACGTCCCTCCCTGCGCTGCAGCCTCTGGATTGGGATCATCCAGGTGAACGAAGAGGTTGCGGAGGATGTACCTACATTGAAAAAACGATTTCTGCTGCGGGATGCAATGCCAGCACCAGGGCACTCGTACAACGTGCGGCTCCAGTTCTGCGGCAGGCACTTGAAGAACACATCCAGTGCCTGCCAGCACAAAAAGCAGGAAGTGCGGCGCCAGATACAAAGTAAAACTCCCAGAGGCCTCACAAACGGCAACCCTGATCTTGTCGTTTGAGTCATCCAACCGCTTCAGCAGTTCCGGGTAGACCTGTCTGCGTTGGGGGTGCCCATTAAGCCAATTGAACGTCTTGAGCCGGCGAGGTCGAGTCACTGGAAGCTTAGGCACCTGCTAAATCAACATGTTGGGAAGCCCCCCAAAAAATCAAGTATAGGAAGAGGAACCATTGAACCTAAAGTTTTTGTAACAAGTCCCACACCCTGCTTAACCTCTTAAACCCAGAAATTCATGGTCTCAACACAAACAGGACCTCGCGCAGCTGCTCCCCGTTAATCTCAGCCTGCGGGCACAGAGCTTTTCATTTGGGTAGGTAGAAGCAGGTTTGCAAGTAAGGTAACTCTGCTTACAACCGTCCAACTACCCATGAACCTCCAAGTAGGGCTCAGCATGGGGGGCTTAGGGTTTTGGATTTGAGGCTTGGGGCTTCGGATTCAGCGTTTAGGCTTTTAGTGCGGAGGTTGACGTGCGGTCAAGGCGTTGACAAAAGATGGACCATCAGGGTGCCACATGGATGGCTCATCTTGCTAACATCGTTTTGCGTCAACAAAAGTGTCAACAGTCAAAAGGATCATGGGGTCGAGGTCGCGATCCTCGTAAGTGTCGTCGTTACAGTTGCGCTCAGATCGTACGGGTCGAGGTCGTGACCTCTTCGTGTCCTGTACTCGTGACTCCTCGTACATTTGTGCCGCGTCGTGTCTTCAGTTGCCGTGTGTCTCGTCTCGTTTGTGTCCTCGATCATGTCTCGTGGTCGTGCCCTGGTGTCGAGTTCTTGTGCCGTGTCTTGGTGGCATTTGAGCGGCGTGCCGGTTGTCACATGTGCCATGTCTTCACGTTGTGTTCTCGCATCGTCTCATCGCGCCGCGTCCTCGTGTTGAGCTGGACCTGGTGTAGCCTTTTGTTTGCCTCAGCGCTCTCGTCTCTTGCAAATGTTGCTTGTCCTGCCTAGACAACCTTGGCTGCCCTCAATCACATGGGCCATTTTGAAGGCAAAGAATCCCAGAACTCAGAGAACCGGCTGCATTGGGGTTTCGGGTTTGGGGTGTACAAGGGACGACAGCTCAGAGAACTGACCACATAGGATTTAAAGAGTCCCCCCCGAAGCCCTACATGGAGGTTCATGGGTACCTATAAGTAAGGAGATATACACATATAAATAAATAAATAAATATAAATATAAATATATATATATATGTATTCACACCCTAAATAGCGCTTACCATACTTGCAACCCTGCTTTTCACTTACCCCATGAGCCTCTCAATTAAGCCACCCCTCTGTGCGCCTGTAAGTCGGCCAGGGTGCATGAAAGCACCAGGCAGGCGACCATGCGGTTGTCCGGCGACCTGCGAGGTGCCGAGGTGTAAGGGGCTTTGGGGCGTAAGATGGCTTAAAGAGGGGGGGGTGGTTTCAAGATGTTTTGGGATTTTGCCTGGCTTGGGGCTTTACGAATCTGGGGAGCGGTTCCATGGTGCTGTCTGAGCCCAGCGCCAGCTATCATCGAGGCAGCTCTTGAGGATTGGCATCAGGTCAACAAAAACCTGGCATGGCGGAGTCAGCAGAGTTGCGCTTGCCGATGTCGGAAGATGGTGCGGGGCCATGCCTCGTTGAGAACTGCGGAGGGCACCAAGTGCCGTCTCAAAAGTGAGTGAACGCAAACCTGCCATGTTCGATGTCTCGGGCTCACGTCTGCAATCATCGCGACGCTCACCACCCCTCGGAATCTGAGGGCGTGGCCATGGCACCTCTTCGGATTTTCCCGTTCGACTGCCCCGGCCTGGAGCTGTCGCGAGATGCCCAGAGTTAAGCTATCGCGTGACCTGCAGGCACCTTCTGATGTGCCCCCAGCCTCCACGAGCAGTTTGGCAGCAGAACGCCTCAGAACTTTTCAGATCTCTGCCAGACTGCTCGTGCGGACCCTTAAAGAAGGGGCCGGCCATCCAGCAATGGCAGCGAGTTCGCCTTGAGGGCGCTGGCCAGGGACTCATCCTCACAAGAGTCATACATCTCCAAGCCACCTTCACAATGAAAAACCTGGAACAGCAGAAACGGCATAAATGGCAGTATGCTATACTGCCTCTTCCTGCTGGAATGGTGGCAAACATAAGGCCAGCATGCTGCGGATGTCTGGAACCAGCATGCGACCTCTCATTACCCCTTCCTGCCGTCCCTTCTCCGCCCTCTGGCCACAACGTGTGTGCGCCCAATGGGCATCAAGTGACCAACAACACTCATCAGGGTGGACCCTATGTGATCGTATGTGGCAAGGTTCCTCAGCAATGTGTTCCTCAGAGTGTACTGCTGTCAGCGACATTGGCGCAACGACAAGCAGTGTACAGCCATCCCAGCAACAAGACGCACAGTCTCACTTGCGCCCCCTCGCATGCGAGATCGCTCCAGCTGATTACAACTCCGCAGAAAACCACAAAGACCTGAAAACCCAAACCCGAATCAACGCAAAAGAGACCCCAAAAACCCCATAAAACGAACCAAACCACCGCCGCGCCTCCTCGTTGACGAGGAAGTGGACCAATCCCAGGAGGTCCACCCGAGCTGTCGCACTGGCATCCTACCGACATGGGGATCTCTTGAACAATCAGCGGCACCCTTCGAAGTCGACCATAAGCATCTTCTTACTGGGTTTGTCGTTCAAACTTCGAAGGATCACTTTGAGCTGGGCATACTTTTTGAATGGTCTGCAGCATCTTGTGCCGTGACTATGCCGGAGGCCGGGTGGGCCGTCTAAACCCTGACACGGCACCCTAAGAGCGTAGAATTAAACCCCAAGGTCACACTCTAAATCCTTACTGCAAGCCTGCAACCCTCATAAACCCTGCAACCCTCAACTCCTCCACCCGTCGACCCCAACAGCGTGCCCTGCAGCCCAATTGCAATGAAAGGCCTGAAGCCTTCAAACCTACACCTCGTCAGAAAAACTTACAAAACGCTCTCGAGGCTCGCGAAGCTGTCGAAAACTTTTAAAACCGACACAACAAAAAGACCTACAAAATCCTTGACCCAATCATGTCCCCTGTAAGAACCCCTAAACCCCCAAAGTAACAGAGACACCTGTGAAAAACAAAAGCTATAGAACCTCCTGAAGCACCCTTGAACAACCTTGTTCTTTTCTTAGACGCCCCAGAACATTGCTTGGCAACAACAACTTCAAGACCCCCCTAAACCCTAAACCCTGAACCCAAACCGCGAACCCTAAACCCTCAACCCTAAACCCTAAGCCCTAAACCCTAAACCCGGAATTGTCTTTCTCCGCCTCGGGGCTTGCCTGACGAGAGAGAACCGGCACCAGCCTCCCAACCTGCGCTTGTCGGGAGTTCAGCAAGGAGTGGGGGAGTTTAGGGCTTAGTGCTTAGGGTTTAGGATTTAGGATGGTTTAGGGTTCAGACCTTAAGCTTCAGGCTGATGTTGAAAGCAGTTCCTCTCCGCAAGGCTGGCCACCCTCAATAAACATTGAGCACCCAAACCATAACTTCGATTGCCCAACCTTAAAGCCGAGGGCGACACATGATCCGCAACCGCTGGGCCAGCATTTCTGAGCCTCACAGAGACCAGTGAGTCGAACGGATTTCAGGGCACCAGGCCGGCCCAAGCTTGGGATTGAGGGTTGGGCAGGTGTTGAGTTCCAGCTTCGGTGTGTGCTTGTGGAAAGCAAAGAGAACACTGCAGGGCGCAGGGACATGGGCGAGGGACCTGCATTCCACCCCCTTTTCCTGCAACTGTCCATTGTTGTTCATTTTCTCCTGTATTTCCTTTTGTTGTTTCTTCTGTTCACTGTTCACCCGCTCTACTCCTCGCCCATCACCCGTACTCCACCCCGCGTATATAGCCCAGAATGTTTCTGGAGCACCCAACCCCAGAGTGTCCCTGGCCGGGAATGCCCAACCCCAGAGTGTCCCTGGAGTGCCCCCCTGGAGTGCCCAAGCCTAAAACATTCCTAATCTGTAGGGTGGGATGTTCGAAGTAAACTAACTCTTGGCTTTCTGTTGTTCTGTCGGAGTCCATCTCTGTTGTGCTCGCCAAGCCGAAGTGTGTAACAGTTCCGGCGTGTTGTCCCATCACAGAGCCGATGGCCTGACTCATGCTGTGGGATGACCCAATCCTTGCTCGTGGGGATCGTCATCCGGGCGACATGTCCCATAGCGAGCATCGGGTCTTGCATGGCCCTACTCGACCAGAGGCCGAGGTGTTGCAAACGGATCGTAGTCTTCCTTCCTGTTGGCAGCTATGCTGCTCCTTCTCTGCACTCCGGCTTTCTCCGCTCCAACGCGACGCATGCGCAATCTGCGACAGTGGATAGGTCAATGGAGAAGGTCAGCAGGTGCAACAGAGCTCTCCCTCTGCTAAATTTTGGAAAATTTACTCTTGCCTCTTGGTGATGAGCCTCGACATGTGATCTCCTGTAATTGATTCGGCCCCGTCTTTTGGGTTCGACAAGCCTTTCTCAAGACCCAACGCACTAACTTCCCAAGGCACCCCAAGACACCTGCTGCAGCCATCTGGACCACATCACGAAAATAGAAGAACCCCAATATAGATCCCCAAACTGTAGGATCCCCTTAGAATAAGGACCCCAATAAGGTACCCCCGATTTTCGTAGACCCCCATACCGTATCCCAGGACTCCAATACCCCTTAATTAATTAAGGAAGATTCCCTAAAACAATAAGAGGGTTCCTTATGGTTTAAGGAATATTGCTGAATTAGGAGTATTGGAGTCTGTGGATGTCGGTTTACGGTTTAGTGAGAGTAGGCTGACCGATTCCTGCTGCAGTCGAGTCGCAGGGTCTCAAGGACATGCCGGTTGGGACTGGTTTCCTGGAGGCGAGCATGGTGAGCGTGAGGCATGAAGCCCAGAGAATGCAATGACCCTTGCCCTTAACTATACATGCCTTGATTAGAAGGGGGCCGCTATGACTTCTCAAATTTCTATCGGAAAATACGCTCATCCTTACAGAAGAATGCAGGCACCCTCAAAGCAGAAACCAAGAAGGAAAAGAAAGGCAATGCCAGTGCTGGCCTCCCATAAGACTGCCTCTCCACCTTGCAGCAGGTCGGCCAGCCGCGTCCTGCACGAAGAGCCCTCTCGGTGTAATTCGTGAGTTTCGTCCAACCCTGAAATCTGAACCTTGTGCCAAGCAAGAGAGCCCTGCACCAACAAAGAAACCCTCTCCCTTTCTCGCCCGGGTCTATAACCTTAAACTATGCAGGGGTCCTCATGATGAACAAACTACCCATAAACGCTTTTCAGACTTCAAACCCTGCAGCCTAAACTAAGGTGTAGATTTCCAAATTCAAGGTGTCTTGATGCGCTTTTGCGAGCCTGAGGTGCTCCTCGTACAGCTGCCTCTGAGACCTGCCGACTTCAACATTCGGGGGTGGCTCGGGTCAAGCTCGGGCATGTGGGGTGTAGAGGCTTTAGGGCGGCTCAAGACGGGTTAGGGGGCTCAAGAGGCTTTAGGGTTCAGGGAGGTTCAGGGATGCAGACAAGTAGAGCTGCAGGCTCAGCGCAGGGTTGTGGCACAAGGCCTTACATTTAATCTTGAAGGCCCCAAAACCCAAAACCCAAAACCCTAAACCCGATGCTGACATGCCGGGATGCACCTGCCCAGGAGCTGCGACAGGTGCTCAATGTTGGCATCCACAACTTGGGCGTTGCACTCCTGCCAACAGGGAACTGCCCGCCAGCTCATGTGGGGGTTTCCGAAAATAGGGGCCACCTTTTTGGCATCCTTAATATAAGGGAATCCTACTATTGTTTGGGGGGCCGTTTAAGCGGTCCCCTATTTTCGTAAACTCCCATGCTAAGTACAGCAATGGTCTTGCTGGAGCACTCGTCCTCGCTGCTCTTCATCCGCAGCAGCAAGTCGAAAATACGTGGCCAGTCTTCCACACACGCCTCCCTGCCTGTCGGAAGACAAAGGTCCCAGAATGCTGTACCCTAACACTCCGGCGAACTCCAGTGCCTGCTTTCAGCAAGGATTCCGTGGCGCCGAGCACAGATGTCAGCAACTCGCTGTGAATGCCCTCCTCAACTACATTCTCAGACATATATCTCAAGCAAGCTTCTGAGATGCAGTGAACGTCCCCTTGTGCAAGGGATCATGTATTGTCAGCCCATTTCAAGCATCAGCAGCACAATCCTCCAAGAAGCGAAGTGCCAGCTTGACTTCCGTGGGCTTCAGGCGACGGCAGAAATCATCAGGGCCAATGCATCTTAGCTCAGCTACGGAGTGCAGCTGGCAGTTCACCGCAGAAGCCAGTAGCAAAGCAACAAGAAAAGCACCCAGCACTGGGTATGCCATTTCGTGGCAGGAACAAGGTGAGTCTCGGGTGTGCACGGGTGTATCAACTTCGCGAGCACCATGAAAACCTGCCGCCGCGACTCAGCCTGAGCAAGAACACACACGCACAAACAGCCACACACACCTACGCACGCACGCACGCAACCAAGCGCTCACAAGGCAGCTATCACGAAATGGGGCTTCATAGTGGGAACTACCATGAGCGCCATGGGCAGGAAACAGCACATAGGCTCTCACAGTCATGGCGGCAAAGTTCTTGACTCCTGATAGGACGTCCTTCGCATCCCCGTGAATGCACCAATTCTTGCAAAAACATGCCCCGATTAGCGCCTTCCACTGTTAGATGGCAGTGATGTCTCACAGTGCAGAGCTTCTCTCCTGCACCGTTCGCGTAGTCTGGCCTCACTGTCCACTCGCACATGGCCAACGAGTCTACCCAAAAGCAAAACCCTACTTGGAGGCTCATGGTACTTTCTAACCAATTACAGCTGTACTTGCAACCCACTTATAAGCCCCTTAAGTGCCCTAATATGGATAGAAGTACAGTTATAAGTACAGCTATAATTGGTTAGTAAGTACCATGAGCCTCCAAGTAGTCCACCCGAAGCGGCAACAAAATTGTTGCACCCTCTGATCCCCGGCGTCCAATCTGCCCCGAGGCTTTGCGTTCTTTTGACAGTCCACATGCCTTTTCGGTGCGCTATTGTACGGCGGACAACCTGGCGAGTTCGAAGCATTCGAGTATGGTTTTGCAACGTCCCTGATACATCATGGAATGGTGGAAGGGCCGAGAGGTTGGAGTAAGGGACGCGCCCGGCACGACTTGCAACTGTATCTGAAGCTGTGGTGCCCTCGCAATCACTGCAAATTGCGCACGTTGACAACGACGATGATGACAACGAGGAGGTAAAAATGCGTACCGAAAAGAAGAAGGTTTACATGGCACAAGCTCGACGCACGTACACACACCCGAGCGTCCCCAGATGAGTCCACGAAGTTCCCAGAACTTTACTAGAGTGGATAAGGAAACCAGTCCTAGTCCCTGATCCCCTACCACGGTTGACCGAAGATCCTGGTAGGTACCTGCACGTGCACATTACAAGGTGTGTCGAAGTCACGTGCACCACTGTAAGTACGCTGACACACCCTCTGACTTGCGATCGGAGTTGGCAGATGCACAAGTGTAGGACCCTCTGTCCTCTGCAAAATTTCCTTTGCTTGTTGACGTAGTTCATAGACCGCCATCATGTGTAGCGAAACACCCCAAGACCAGCCAGACGCAATGAAGAGCAGGAAGGGATAAGAGGACAGCGAACAAAGGGAAACCCTGACTGCCTGGTAGTGGACAAAAACTAGACCGACAAATCAAACACCATACTGTAGATAGTCCAATTTGTACAAAACCGAAAAATTCTAGATGCTGTCTGTCGGCCAGATGACGACGACCCATGCCAATGTGCGCATCGAAGGTTACAAATGGGCAATGGCTGGGTGCGCGGCGACCTTGCTTGTCTTGCGGCCACAGTTCGTCAAATGACGTGCCCTTTCGGTGCCCGCCTGCACACCACTAACACGACGTGTCCAAAATCCTGGGCCTTCAAGGGCTTAGGGTTAAGGGCTTGGGATATAGGTGCTTAAGTCTTCAGATTTAAGGCGAATTCTTCAGCATGCGTCTTGATGCCTTCGTGTTTGAGGCCGAGGTGTCGACCAACCACTTCAAGGACCTCAGCTAAAAATGACTAAAATCCCTGCACCTCAGCTCAACATCTAAAGACCCTGCACCTCAGCTAAACATAGCCAAAAAACCCAAAGCGGCGTAGGGGTGTAGGACTCATTTTGAGGCCCTGGCCAGCTCTGCATCAAGGAAGACGCCAACCATGCTCGCGCCTGAATCGCGCATTCCCTAAATCCTCAACCCTAAACCCTAAGCCCTAAACACTACAACCCTGAAACCCTGAAGCCCTAAACCCCGGACCCCACAAACCCGAACAGTGCACCCGGGATCCGAGCACAGAAGCGCCGCTTTGACGACCTTCTGGTCATCGTCGGCCTGGGCCTTGCGGTCCCAATCACTTTGATAAAGATACTGGCAACCATGGTAGTGGTAACGATAAAAGCATGAATAATAATAGTAGGAATATGAAAAAATAGTAAAAGCCATAATTGCAACAACAAGAATAGTAAGAACTATGATGATCTTCATAACAGTAGTCGTGCTATCGATGAACATAGTACTGACGTTGGTGATGTTGCTGGTTCAAACGCTTCTTGCAGCGGTGTGCCTTGTACAAGTGCACCAGCACTGCATCCATAAAAGGCGCAATCTGCTTGTTGGCGATGACCTCACAAATAAAGCCAAAACGAACCCGCCCCCTCGCAAACAAACAACAACAGCAGGTCCACCAGCTGTGGTCCGAGCCAGCAACACTTGCAATAGTCTTGCCTGGCAGCCCAACATACCAAGCAAAAGAGTCAAGGAGAGTCCCCAGCGTTATGGGCATGGGTGGCGGCGGTGGCAGCAGGAACGGGAGAGCAGAAGCTGCCACAGGGCAACAGGCAACACCCCAAGGTGCAGGGACATTGGGGCTTGGGGATTTTTTGGGGGGGCTAGAGTCGCATGTTGCATTAGATAGGAACCCTTAGAGACTAGGCGATCACACCCGGGCCTTCTGCAATGTTATCTATTTTTTCTTCTCTTATATGATCTTACAATATAACATATTGTGTTATACTATAATATATCATATGATGCTCTATATACATATATATATATATATATATACATTGTATCATATAACAATGAGGGGGAAGCTGTTTTCTGGGTATCTGGCCGCTGCTTCTCGGATGTCTGTCGTCCACTGCGTCAGGTTGGCCAGCACCTCGTGCGACAGAGACGGTTGAGGGTTTAGGGTTTGGGGTTTAGGGTTTAGGGTTTAGGGTTAGGGTTTGGGGTTTAGGGTTTGGGGTTTAGGGTTTGGGGTTTGGGGTTTAGGGCTTAGGGCTTAGGGTTTACGGTTTAGGGTTTGGCATGGCGAGCGCCTGCTCCCTTGCCAGCATTCTTGCTAATTTGCTGCGTGCTGATACTGGATGCTAGGGACGTCCTAGTCTCCTACTACTGCTGTCAGTTCTACAGTCCAACGAAGGTCTGAAGGTATGCTGCCAGTCCCATCTCTAATCGCCGGGCCTGAGGAAGGATGCTCGCCAGATGGTATCTTACCTGCCACACGGTCCAAGCATATTTCCGACAGCGGCATGCGGAAGCTACGGAAGCATCGCAAGCGGACATGTGAAGGAGGTCTGCAGGATAATAAGCTGCACACATAAGTGGTGGTCAATGCTGCCGGCAGCCGTCCAGCTGCAAAGGGCTGTGGCCTAAGGCAGATAAACCAATGACCATAACATCAACAACACGGGTACAGACAGCAGCTGCGGCGGTTCTTTCCAAGGCGGCCACAGGAGCGGCAGCACTGAGGTGTAGTCAAACGAAGGCACAACCTGCATTTCTATGGCTGCACGCAAGTCCTGCCTCGGCACCCACGTTTAATAGCACAGATTTCGCACGTGGGGAAGTTCGCAACCCGAACCCGAAAAGCCTCAGTGCCGCTGGGTAGTTACCGTTACTCGGTGGGTTTCGCTATCTTCCCGGCATGGAAATCCGTGCTTGTGGCAGTATCAAGACGGAAGGAGAGCTCAATGACTCCTGCAGCTGTACATGCGAAGTGTGTGAAAACGTCTATCAACAGCAAACGTCCCGGCAACAATCAGAACCCAATAGCTCTTAAACTCTTCCTAGTACACTGTGGCGACATGCCAGCACGCGGCATGTAGCATTGCAAAAACGGATGGTTGAGAACAACAGCCACACATGTTTCGAGGAAACACGTCTGTCAAACAAACCCTCCTAGGCAGAGCAAAACCACTGACACAAAAGAATTGTAGACGAAACAGGACTCAGAGGGTAGCTCCATCGAGCGACACATCGAAGCCGCGGGTCAAGCACAGTGGATCCACGAGCTTTTCTCATATCTCTTCAAATCTGTGCCAGTAGAAGCTTCCGCACTCTTCCATCACCGCAGCTCAGCACTTCCAAGAGCCCAGTTAGGACCCCGGTGCGATTCATGATTGGACACAAGCAGGGCGCGTTTCCGACTCCCACACCTCGGGATCTTTGCACTTCTGATTGGCTGTCTCCTGCCCGCAAGAAGACAAAGTATGGTCCACACAGCTGCAAATGGAATAACATGTCGCTGGCTGTGGTGTCCTCCTGGGCAGGTGTGCTGTCTGGATCCTCGCTGTAGCCAGCCTGCGTGACATATGCACACGTCCAAGCATGCTCTGAACACTTCGGCTGAAAATTAAATCTAGCTGTGCGGGTGCCATCATGAGCCTTGCTCTCTCTGGCTTCCTTTGCTTTTTGCTTTGCCTCCTCCGATTTTGACAGGACCGGACTGGCCAAAGAATGCAATGGCAGCAAAGCATCCTCCCGTTCTCGTTCTCTCTGTGCACGCTTCAGCAGCACCTCACCACAGTTCCATCGATGATGAGAGAATCTAGGACAAAGACTCCAAAGATTTACAGTTTGTGAAGGGCCTCGTGCTTGAGAGCGGCTACGCGCTCGAGGCCACCGAGGGCGACAGCACCTACCTGCCAGTGCCGACAGGTTCCAGATTTTGGAATAGGGCGAGTGTGGGGTTTACAGCCAACCCGAAATGAGATTGCTGGCGTCTCCCAAACATCTCATTGGCCAGCAACTGCCGTAAATGCCACCTGCTCAGCCTCCTCATCCGACGAGACACCTCCGGACGGACGATAGCCAAGGTGTGCTGTGCTGTTTCACGCAGCTTTTGGCAACAACTGAAGTGTTGCGGGTCAGTCAGGAGCCTAGTAGGAGAAGGAGCAGCCGCGACTCGAACTTGTCGAAGCCCTCAGGCCTGACAAAAACAAAAACAAAAAATATGCCGATTCCCAATGTTTCAAGGGTGGGTGACGGATGAAACCAGTGAATGTACTTCCTGCTTGCACGGTTTGAAGGACAGGGCATTGTTTGAACCAAGCTTGCGCGGCTTCAGAGCGGAGGCGTTGGGGGGACGGGGGAGGGGGTCGGGCGAAGGGGGCTTCTCACGGGTTTGAAGGTCCAAGAATGGCATGATGTCTAGGCTGCCCAGCAAACCATGGACCCGCAGTAGACACGAAAAAGAAAGCACAACACAAATGCATGCAGCAGAGTTTTATACAGTAGAAAATACAGTAGAAAGTAAAGGTATACAGGATAGAGTATTTCATACAACCAACAGTATCGAGTATGGTATCGAAGGTCAGTACCTAGAAAAATGTATGAAGTATAGTAAGGATGACCGTATACAGTATCCAAGAAAATACATAGTATCTAGTGCCCAGCACGCACTATCTGAAAAACGTACAAAATGAAGGTAGCCAGAACACGGTGCAAAGTATGTAGTAGATAGGTATGCAGTATATGTATATAGCTCGTATACAGTATATGGTACACAGTACACAGTTTCTAGTACGCTTGTTCAGAGGTGTGCAGAACCCAAAGGGCCCAATACCTTTTAGTTAAGGAATATACCCCTTCTAAGGATCCCGCTATAGTTTCAGGGTTTAGGGTTTAGGGTTTAGAGTTTAGGGTTTAGGGTTTAGGGTTCAGGGTTCAGGGTTCAGGGTTCAGGGTTCAGGGTTCAGGGTTCAGGGTTCAGGGTTCAGGGTTCAGGGTTTAGGTTTTAGGGTTTAGGGTTTAGAGTTGTGGGTTGCTGAATCAAGGGGTCTTGGGCTCTCTGGAAGCATTGCCGAAGGCTGTGCCTGCGCTCGCTACGGGCCGTGAGGTCAATCTTGCAGGACTACTTGGAGGTTCGTGGTACTTAGTCACCAATTGTAACTGTACTTAGAACCCACTAATAAGCCCTTTCAGTGCCCTAATGGGGGCTAGAATTGGGTTATACGTACAGATAGTATTGGGTTGCTAAGTACCATGAACGCCCAAGTAAGATCTACACTCAAAACCCTTGCCCCCGAATCCTGGCCAGACGGGAGCCCAACAGCGGCCAGAAAGCAAACAACAGCAACCAAAGCACAGAAAGCCACGAGAAGAAGCAAGGAGGACCGCAAAAGGCAGAAAACAAGAACCCCCCAACGAACGAAAAGCGATAGTAACAATACCAATAGTGTAGAAAAGCAGAAAGCAAGGAACCATAAAGCAGAAAGGGCAAGAAAGCTGACAAGCAGAAAGCACGAAATGGATAAGAACACAGCAAGCAAAAAGCAGAAATCGAAAAGTCAGCAAAGTCAAGAAGTGGCAAAGCATAGTGCAAACAAGTTAATGGCCAACCATACACGAGCAACGCAAAATCCAGCATATGGCCTCTTGATATTCCCAGTACTGAGCGAATGAGACGCCGGCCCGTCGTCGTTCAAGTTGCTGACCAAGGGAGCCCGAAAGCTCAAACCCTTCAGCAGCCACCTCCAAACGCTTCACCAGCGAAAGGGACAGGGGTCACAAAAGGGCTTCATAAGCTGGGGCCACCTTTCCAAGGTTTCTGCCAGGCTTTGTCGGACGCCAGAAGTCCTGAAAGAATGGAACTGTCAGCACATCAGGTCACGCCGACTCCTCAGAAACACCACTCCCGGCCTGTCGCCCAGGAGGGCATTGAGATGTGGGAGGATATCCTTCCGGTGCGGCTAAGCTGGGCAGTGCAGGGACGTATATGACAAGTTGACCAAAGGTAACCAAGAGCACCAAGCAACGGGCAGATGCTGCCCAAACAGGGCCGCCAGCGGCAACAGCTACTTAGCAGCTACTTGCGCTATGAAGCAGGCATATTGTAGAACAAGTGTTACTTCCCCCCCCTGCAAAACGAACCGGTCGTCTCTCAAACCCAGCACCCTGGGCTCCCAAAAAGAATCCCACACTTGGAGGTTCATGGTGCTTCTTAACCAATGATATAACTGCACCTATAACCCTTTCTATCACCCTTCTGGGGCACCCAAAAGGAACCCTAAATAGCTGCTGAGGCAGCTGGGCCTCCATGTGGTCCATCATGGGCGCTTCTTGCAGGAGAAGGGCCCCAATGCTCTCCAGAGTGGCTCTTCTCACCTCGTGCCATGTTAGGGCCTCTTTAGGGAGTAAAGAGAGTCTAGAGAGTCTAGGGAGTCTAGAGAGTCTAGAGAGTCTAGAGAGTCTAGAGAGTGTGGAGAGTTTGGTTCTGAGGCCTTGCTTGGGCTTTAGGGAGTTGGACCACAACTCACTACAACGGATGCTAGCGTGCACACAAGAACAGACACACCTCCCACTTCCCCGTGACGATTGATCATGGCTTATGCTTTGCTAAAGCATGAGTGCAGTTGCAGCGAAGTGCACACATATACATACTGAAAAAAGAGGCCGGTGGTGGCCTCATACATCCCTGCAACGAAGGCCGATGCCCGCAATGAGCTTCTGAGTTTGGGCTGCCGTCTTCAAACCAGAAAACAACCCACATGCCAACATTCTACTCTCCCGCCCAGCTGTGTACACCCCTTCAGAGATTGCGCGCGCACACAAGCCAAGGATCCGACCTTCCACTGCTGGTGCTTCAGATTTCCCAGTAGCGACCCTACCTTGTGTTCAATCAAGCTGCATCCGGAAAAATTCATGCCGAACTCGTGCAGGAGTGCATGTGTGTGTAGGGGAAGTTGCATGTCTTGTCGCCAAAATCTTCCATGGACGGAACTTGGATGGGAAAGAAACTTAAAACAGACGCCCCATTGCCACTCTGGATCTTGAGGAGCTGGCGAGGGGGCCGCACGCACGGCTGACTCGCTCTGCCTCAAAATACTGGCTCACCTGATTTCAGACAGGTGTCTGAAAAAGTGCTTGTATGACTGGCATGCTGGCTTTTGTCGCGGGGCAGGATTCATATGAGTTTCGTTCAGAAGCTCAAAGCTTGATTGCACTCTTCTGTGCTGAAGCAAGCTAGGCAAGGACACGTGGCCGACGCACACTCACAAGCGCAAAGACCAGGTTCACTAGCGCCTTCTTGGTGATCTCGCAGCACTCTTTCTTCGCGTCAGGGCATGTGTCTGTCAAAGCCTGGAAAGGATCGATCGGCAGTCCACGTGCTGTAGCCAGAAGGGGGCTTAAACCAACATGGCAATCGAAAGCTAGGGGTCTGAGGTTTTGGGGTTCGAAGCCTTCGACAGCGCGTCCAGGACATCAGATGCATACGGGCTGAGACGCTCCTCACTCATGCGATCACTGAAACCGTAACGCGATGGCACGCCAGGCGGAAAGATTTGCGCAATGGTGCAAACGCAGGCCGCTCCTTGCAAAGGTCGAAGAGGTGGCTCAGCAGTCTAAGCGCCTCAGCAAGCATCGTGATAAGAAATCTGTGCTGAGTATGGCCACAACCGGGCCAAACTCTTCTTCTTCCAATTCGGTGCCGAGCAGTACTACCGTTCTTCGTATCCTTATCAGTAATATTCTCATTAAGTAGTACTGATAATGGCAATACGAATCATTAGTATTGTCAGGATCACTACTACTCCCCACTATCTCGTCTATTGGTTCCCGCAGGCCTCGAGGCGCAACTCTTCGCTCTGCTCCGGGAACGGGTGACCTGAAGAGATGCTTCTGGGTTTGGAGGGTTTCGGGTTTAGGGTTTAGGGTTTAGGGTTGAGGGTTGAGGGTTGAGGGTTGAGGGTTGAGGGTTGAGGGTTGAGGGTTGAGGGTTGAGGGTTGAGGGTTGAGGGTTGAGGTTGAGGGTGGAGGGTGTGGAGCGTTGAGGGTTCAGGAGCACAGAAACGAAGAACTGCGAAGTCAACTCAGAAATGCGGCCAAGCTTCTTCGAAACCTGCCCAGAAGAGCTGCCAGCAGCAACCTGGGTTGTAATGCTCCGAAAGAAGCACATTACTAACAAGAATAAGAACAAAAATAAGAATTACAATAAAAATAACAATCATAACAATAAAACTAGCTCTTTTTACTATGATTATGACACTATACTGATAATCACAGCCCTAATGAAAGTTCTAGTCATGACACGGAATAGAAACAGCGCCCTTGCATCGCCCGTAGGCATTTAAGCAGCTCGCGGGAGGACGTTCTCCAAGTCTTCTACCTGACGAGTTTGAGTCTTTGAGTCTGCTTGACGATGGAGGTCCATGGGTAGCTTTCAGAACGGGCTACACCCTAAATAGGGTTAGAAGTCAAGTTACCCTACTCACAACCCTACTTCTAACTACCCATGAACCTCCGAGTGGAATGGGGCCGAACTGAGACAGCTACGGGCAGGAGATCTGCAAAGCGATGCGTCATAGACAACGAAACTTCGCGGCACTTCTCGCCCTGATCGGCGAACCTGGCACGTGAAATGCAGCAGTCATGCCAAGCTTCCCGACCTTTCTGCTTCCTCTAGACATTCGAATGAAAACCAACCATGACAATGAACAGAAATAACATGTTGAATATTCAAAGAGGACGGCTCCACATTCTGAAAAGAGGCTTGTGAAGCTCTTCCAGAAAGACTCTTCTGACATACTCCTGTGGAGCTTTGCTGCCTGCACTCATCTTGCCGGATCATGCATGGCAAGCTGCAGCGCAATCACAAACCCTGAAAAGCCGCCACGTTGGGCTCCGGACTGCTCAGCAGCACCTTGTCCTTGCTCGAAGTTGGAGATTCATCGCATGCCCAAAATGCATTGCCAAACCCGTGTGCTTTGCTATCACCAGCATCTCTCCAATAACTCCATGCGCGAGATCGCGGGCATCGGCGGGACAGGCTACATAAGCTCATCGTAGACAAGCATATCGCTTGAGATCTCAGCTTATAAAGCGATCAAATCGATATCTAACGGTTTCCTGGGCCCCCTGAAAACAAAACTGTGTAGGCAGTGGCCTAGCATTGACCGTGTTGCCCGTCACTCGGTTAGCCTGAGGCTTTCGCCAGCTTGACGACGGCTCCTCGTCTGACTGCTCTGTCGTTGTCTGTGAGACCTGAAGCACATTGTCTCGGAAATCCATACTAAACCATACTAAACCATACTAAACCATACTCAACCGTACTAAACCATACTAAACAATACTAAACCATACTAAACCCAAAGCTAGATAAACCCAGCACTTGGCTGCAAGACGGGTCCATCCTTTCATCTGGTCACAACAGGCAAGAATGAGTGCTGCACAGTTTATGTCCCTCCGGACAGTTAGCAGGAATTCCTGCGCAAGCAGGTGTATCATGGTGGTATCATGTACGACAGCGGATTGCACGTAAAAGGATGAGGTTGCCCATTTACACATTGCACAATCGCCAACCACAAGCAACTGACGAGTATGCTGATAGCACACAGGCAACACTGTCAGCCCCCCCATCAGTCTTTCAATGCGACCTTTATGGGAGGGCATCTAGTACAACCGTCCTGGTAGCCGTCCATGCCTCGGCAGCCAAACCTTACTGATCAGATATGCTTCGTGAAGCCAGCACAACATACTTGTACCTTCACGACCGCATGAATTCTTTACTATGGAGCTTGCTGAGGCAAAGGCCGCTGCACCGAACAACAAATCTGCGAATTCTCCTAAAACTACGCTGTGAGCTGGTAGTTCAGTAGCAATTTTCAAAGTGAAGGGAAGCTCGTCGATCAGATGCAATTGTTGCTACGCTGAAAGATGTGTGCTAAACTTGCCAGATGGCTGCTGCAGTTGCTGCGACGTGACGTGGCTTGCAAGCTTGCTCGACTACTCTTATCACATGCCTGGCTCAACAATGTCGTACGATGATGTGAGCGTGCTGGGATGGCGTGTAAGCAAACTGAACGCTGGAGCACAATCAGCGATGAATTCTTTCAGTGTGATTCTAAGCCTCGACGCTTCTTGCAAGGAAGCGCATTGCTGTAATGACATATTGATATATCCCTGTAGGCCACATACCTGACAAAAGGTGCTGGGGAGCCTGGACCGCTTCCGATGACCAGCTCACCCCGGCCGTCAAACTCAACAAAACTTCATCAAGGATCGTCCAATAAGTTATCCCCCTCCCCCTTATATTAAACCCCCCCCTACCCCCTAACATTAAACACCCCCCCACCCCCCATGATTTGCGTCGAATCCGCTGCGTTTCCTGGAGCGCGCCGCAATGCTCTGAATGTGCTGCACGGCGGTGACTTGCGCTAAATTCCGCTGCTTTGCGCTGAACTGTGACGCAATGCGCTGATTAAGGCTCACTTCGTACGGCAGTATGCTTTTCGGGTTAATCGGGTTTATGCGGTCGTCGATTCGCAGCATGCTTGTTGGGTTTAGTGGTTTTATCGGGTGCACGGGTGCGCGGGTTCTCAGCGGCGGGCTTATCGGGTGTAAGGACGCGCGGTTTTTCGGTAACCACATGGAGCATCAGGGACAACGAAGACAAGTCAGGCTTGCCCAGGCCACAGGGTGGGCATCGGCTTCTCTTTTTGGGGAGGGGAGGGGACGGTCTCCATTCAGCCAGGCATGGCTGACACCATCTGGCTGTCCTCGCTGCAGCCTTCCACAGACCGGCATGAATCACTTAGGTATAACATGTACATGTTCGGTTTGGGAGGAGATTATCTGAGAGGCAGAGCATCTGATGTCTGAGGGCGAAGAATTGCTGTGCTCCTTGGGGCGATATACTCCTGTCTAGTGCGTGGTGAACGCTCAACAGCTTGTGTCTTCGAGACCTGACCCCTTCAGTATCAGCAAGTACTGCTGCCTGAAGAAAGTCACAGCCTTAAGAAGCGACCTGGCGACAGAAAGTCTGTGCAGGGTTCGGTTTTCATCAGCACTTATTGGGGAGCGCTGACAATAGCTTTGCTCAGAGGGGCGCTGGAGACCATTATTCCTCCTAGAAATGCCGGGCAGCTGCCAACAATCAAGTCGAAATTGAGTTCTTGTTTTACGTACTGGGGCGCCAGTGGATGACTCCCGGCAAGTGTCGCAAGGCAAGAGACGCATCCATTCTCAGATTGTTTTGTTGACTGGGGCGAGATTGTGAGATCAGCAATCTTCGACGGCGGCATGTAAACTGTTGAAACGCAAAAAAGCGTAAACCATTTGAACAGCCTCAACCTTAACCCTTAACCCTCATATTCCCAACTAGTGGTGCAACGTGTTAAGGCTCGCAATATAATCCGCGAAGACGCCCGAAAAACAGAACAACCGCAGATAGTAAGCGAACCCGCACCAATAAGCAAAGCAACCGCAAATACTGCGCGCACACGCGCCACAGATAGTAAGCGAAGACGCACCAATAAACAAAACAAGCGCATATAGTGCGAAGACGCACCAATAAGTAAAAAAAACGCATATAGGGCGAAAACGCACCAATAAGCAAACAAGCAAAACAATCGCAACAATTGCACATAGTAAGCGAAGACGCACCAATAAGCAAAACAAACGCATAATTTTCCCCTTTAGGGTGGGGAAGGTGGGTGGGGGGGGAGCCCCCCCGAGCCCCCCGAGAAAACGGGTCATTTGCGGGGTTTCCGTCTAGGCCTATTTTCCTGCAAGGGGGGGGTTTGGGTATGTGATCCACTGTGACAGGCTGCGGTTGATTCTTTAGGCATTGGCCTCTTTGGGTCGTCGTAGCTATCTTTGATGCGCGCATGAGTCGGCAGACCTGTTTCGCTGACGGGGCTTGGGCGATGACGCAACTCTCAAGGGTGCAGGTTGGCTACGCTCATGGGGCTTTGGGGCGATGACGCGACTCTCAAGGGTACGGGTTGGTTGCGCTGATGTGGGCCGTGGGCGCAAGTATGCTGATGGCCCTTATATAAAAGCCCATCTTAAAAGGAATTTGCTAGTTTGAACAAGAGCACCCAAGGCCACAACACCCCAAAACCCGAAAGTAGTAGTAGTAGTAGTAATAGTAGTAGTAGTAGTAGTAATAATAGTAGTAGTAGTAGTAGTAGTAGTACT